ACACAGACAAAATGGACACCTGTCTTACTGGATTCGATTATCCAGTGGATCTTCATTACCCCCTTTCCGCTGCAAGAAGCAAAGATATGAAAGCAATACATACAACCAAGATCAAGTAGCTACGAAAAAGTATCTCTCACACTTTTACATCAGTTCTAAATTGCCTCTCATAAAATGTTTAAACGGTTAATACCACAAGGCTGGGGTCGTTAACAGAATATCCTTTCCAGTCTCGTAACCATAAGCAAGCCAAAAGGCGGTGGACATTGTCCATCCTCTGAAATATCAGGGGCTGGAAAAGGTTTCGAGAGGGCCACGACTTTTATGACAGGTCATCGAGATACGAATATATCCAAAGTAAAGAGGCGACGACTACACTTCCTATAGCTATACCTTTGAGACTTAATATCCTCAAACACGCGTCGGCAACTAGGAGAACTGTGTCGGAAACACGTAAAATTTCACCGCCTATTACGCTATAATTCGTTGCCTAGCAATACTTCACTGCCTCACGTTAAGTCGCATACGTATGAGAACGAAGCAGTTAATAGGAGAAGGAACTTTTCGATCTAACCATTAATCTACTATCACCTGGCCAACTCGATGATCTAAAGCTTAAAATACGAATAATCGACCGGTAATAGCATCTGATACCAACGTCGTATCGCTACATTCTACAGCAAAGGCCGGAACAATAAGACGAAAAACAAACTGCTACGACCCGAGTAAAATTTTCCATGATACTTAGACTTATCCCCGAGGAAAATGAGTTATCAATCTCTATGATAAAAAGCACAGCAAGGCTTCTAGAAAATACCGAGCCGATGCGAGCACTAGATATTATGAACTATACTAGTAGTCCGATATGAAGCCCGAGAGACCTGGTTTTGGTAATCATCACATAATATTAAAAGCTATACCATCCTTAGTTGTCTGGAGACCGAACTAACATTAATGAATTTACTTAATATGCTAACTCATAGGATTTCAGTATTGCATAATAGGTATCTCACTAGCCGCCAGGCAACCCGTTGTAGCGGAGTCTAGCTTCTATATACACCAGCCCTGGAGTCGATAGGCGATGTTAATGGAAGGTTACTTGCCAACTTCTACTTTTCACACTCCGTTAACCGAGGTCACGGCCAGTTCATCGACGTAACGGACCAGAATAAATTTGATCGTTTTATGCCAGCACCTTGTATTACGACCGCAGATAAGGATTAGACCAAACTTGTTGCGTACCTAAGGAGGAACAACAGTTCGAAATCCGACTCAACTAGGGCTCCACGGACTCTTATGCCGTTCAGCAACCACGGAATCGATGAAGGGTTTTCTCAAAGTTACGAATTACCGCGAGGTAGAAAGAAGAAATTATGCGATTTATTAGAACGAGAAGCTTGCCTTGGCACGACGGGAATAAGTTTTGTCGGTATGGGCGATATCATGAAGGAAATGAATGAATAGACGAGACGAGGCTATGAGGTACGATCGACAGGGTGGCAAGTATCGACTATCAAGAGGCCATCGAACCAGTCTTCCAGCAGCAGCAGCGGCATCATTAAAAATTAGCCTTGATTATCCATCAAGAGGAACGAAGCAATCAGCATCCCAGATATTTACCGAGCCGTATATTATCGAGCGCAGAATCGGATTTTCTTTAGCCTCGGACTATAGCATCTGAGACGATGACCTTGCACCACGGGGTTTTTTTATTAACGCAAAGAGTATGAGAAGAAGGAGAAAAAAGGGAACAATTTTTCTAGGTTGACTCGTACGTGATGGGAACAGCGCCCAAGTCTGGCTTATTGACGACTAACGAAGACCGATTACCTATAAAGGGGTACGACAGCGAAACTCGAAGATGGAGGCTCAAGATGACGAAACTTCCTTAGCGAAGCCCATGGTGTGCGCCGTAGTACCTATCTACCTACCTACGTAACGGACAAGGATTAGAAGACGGGCTGTCCATCAGTAGAAAGAGAGGGGAAAGAGGACTACGGTATCGACGGGGTAGCAAGCTGATCTGTGAAGGCGATGGGATTTCTAACCTACGACGGATGGCTTTGATTTGGGGGCGCCGAGGACTACGAGATGGTTACGCGGATGCGGAAAGTACTACATACGTACCTACACGACGACAACGACTACGGGTCGCGGAATTCTCGACGATGAACGGTTTATATGCGAGGACGAAGTGGCGCTATTTACATGCGTACGGGCAATGGGTCGAAGACGAGACGGCCCGAGGAAGAGAAAAGGTAGCTGGCGCAGCGCAGAAGTATCATCGACGAGCGAACGGGAAACATGGTCGGGTTTTGTGGTAGGGGGTTACTGCTCTTGACACGCTTATTATGCTCAATATCCTAGCACTGCCGTGGCTCGACCTACCCCTTTTATTGGTGTGGCTATAAGGCCGTTGGATCTCTCAGTGACGATAGTGTCATCTATTTCTCCCGACGCTACTAGAAGGCACAGAGGAACTTGAGTCTTGTGAAGGCGAGTCAGAGCGAGGGCGTGCGCTTTGGCCACGAATGCTTAACCCGGTTGCCGTTCGGATTTAAGGTAGATATAGGCCGAGAAGATCTCATGCGGCAGGAATTCGACAGGAATTCGACATCGCCTAGTACCTTCAACACCGCTTTGCGAGTTTCTACCACAGCCGTTAGGTCGAAGAATACCTATCGTGGCGTATTGATGAAAATCCCTCTATTACACACCCTACACCGAAAGAGCGAGAACGTCTACCTATCGCAGACTCATATACAGTCAGTATTCCAATGCCCCATTATTCTTGTTCACTTTATCTTCTCATGCACAAATCTATTCTATTTAATAGATAGGTCGGTGGGGGTATATTTTCTAAGAAAACCGCGCTGCTCAAGCCCCCCCTAACTTTCCTAAGATCGGCCTCGAGGTTCTGGAAACTGTAATGCTTCATCTTATCAGTCCACTTACATATGTAAGGCGTCGAGAGCTTGCGCCCTAATTTACAACAGCAGCTTTATAGTCATTTACAGGTCCAGCGGATCCGTGACCTCGAATTGTCCGAATATCATGGCTTTGCCGGGCGTCATCGAGAGTATATTTACTGAACCCTCCTATTCATTCCGCTGCTAAATCCAGTTACAACTTCGCTAGCTGCTCGACGACAAGCAAGATGAGAACAGCCAAGTCTTGTGACAGAGTGGGCAACTATCGGCGATCTGTAACTGCGCCATTGATTTCTCGAAGAGGTCAAGTATATCCTCGATCTTGGCACAGTTGAACATAATGCCGATGGCCCGCATCCCGGAGTTTCCCCACCCTCTGCTCCAAGCCCAACTTCTGAGGAAGGACAATGACGATGTAATAGTCTGTGGCCATTTATATCGGCAAGTAGATCCCTAAGTCTCCAATATCCCGTCCTGGAAGTCCGGGAATAGTTTGGAGGCGGCAAGTTCGTGGCTTTGGAAGCCATCATTTTCTGTTCTTTGACTTATTTGGCCTGAAAAGCGGGAGGAAGAGCCTTCGTAGGCCTCACTATTCCCCTGCAGCTCCTTAAGGTGCAACGGGGGATGTACTAAGGAACCTGTGGACTTCGTACGCTGTAAAGTAGCCGCCAAGTTTATATGTGGCGGGCTCGGCTCGATCATCGATAGAGTACTCTATAACTGCAGCCACCCCTCAAAGCCAAGCCCGAGAGGATCGTTCGTAACGAATTTCTCTCTATTACCGCTTGACCTGTCGAGTGGAGAAGAGCCAAATGCACTCGGCGAGCAAACATCCAAGTTTGCTTGCTCAGGGGAAGTGGCTTCTGCCGATGCTGTTAAGAGGATCGTTGCCGCGATGGCGTTGACTCAGGTTATATGTATACACACAGGGCTTCCCTAGACGCTTACACCGGTTGTATTCGCTGCCGTCTAACGTGCCACTACACCTCGTTCTACCAATGCGACATGCTTTGCAAGCCGAGCCCTTTTGATATATCCTAGGTTCAGCTCGGAACTCGGCAGAAGGTCACATTTCTTAATGACGTGATGTCGTACATGGTAAAGCGGTCAGTTAAGATAATCGATCTTAAACCTCTTTACGTCTAGCTCTGCTAAGCATTAACTTAGAACTGCCCCCTGACTAGCCACTCCTTTTCGCCCCTTTTCAGTTAACTACGGCTCCGAGCGCTGACTAGAAATAACTACAGTCTTTTAGACCCAAGCGACAAAGCCGAGAAACAGACGATATATTCTAATCGGCTACGAAATGTGATCGAGGTCGGATGCAGTCTGCCATCGATGATTTCCCTTTGAGTGTATGTACATGTATGCCATGTTTTTCTCTTGGGTTTTCCTTGCCGATAGCTGGGGCCAAGCAGCCACCAAAGGATCATAAGAAACCAACGCAGGTAGTGTGGTTGGTTGATCTATGGTGGATATGCATGTCTGTGCCGTCACTGGATGCTTTATAAAGTCCAGTTAGGCGTTTGACTGCTAATCCTCAATTCGGATTGGGTTTCGTAAATAAGATAACAGATTATCACTAGTAGGGGGTTGACGTCGAACTTAAGGATAGACAACCCCTGGAACGTCATTCTTCTCGAATACATTCAAGTATAGGCCCATGCTCAACTACTATATTAGAGTCTCGTACTAGGCAGTTTAATGTCGTTGAACTATTAGACGGGTAATTTTCAAGTACTACATCTATATCTGATGAAGTGTGATAGGGCTAGTTAGTTGGAAGATAGGTAGATAGATATTTATCCCCTGTAACAGAGAATGTTTCACTGCAGCATTTGAAGACCCTTGACAAAGCTTCATGGACGCCGAGGAACTCTTTGAATAATAAATGCAATTACAATATAAACTCCACAGTTCGTACAGGGTATTGATAGTTGCGATACATTAGGCAAACTGTAGCCGAAGGACTCAGGCCTCATCATATATTAGCAAAATCGCCACGGCACACTTGCTATATCAGTATCACCTGTATTTCAGGTATTTATATACTGTAAATGTAGTAATAGTAAACAATTGACTAAGTAGAAGAGTAACTTCTCACTTGTTGCTAAAAGAGTGTATAAATAAAGGACTAGTTGATAGCCCTGAAGTTATTCTTAACAATGAAGAGCTTGTTGTAATATCTAATGTTTAACGCCGGTGCGATATTTACCAGTTCAGATACCTTGCCAACCATCCCTTAATAAACGCTATCAGTTTATTCAAACTCGGCGCGGCGAGCGCGAATAAAGTAGGGGGATGGATAATTCCTTTCAATAAGGAAGATGCAGTGTTCGCGTCTCTCGTACACTCCGACTCTCCTCCTCTGAACCAAGATATCGACTTGTCTTAAAGCTAGCGGGTAGTTTAGTAAGTTTTTGCCATTATATTATATTGTTTCCGGTTCGTAGAAAACTTACCTCCAGTACAAGTTACCAAGGGGAATACTACGGCAAATCTCAACGAAAAGGAGCACCTGTCTATCTATCTTTTCCCCGTAAGAAGGCAATTCGGCAAGCGCAGTGTACCAACGTTTATAACAGTCGTCAACCATGGCACCGATTTTGTCGACAGACTGTTGGGCAGACATGCCCTGCTCCACGAGAAGCGGGATCAAATTATGGTCGACACCCAGCTCCTAAGGGAATAATTAGCTTGTTGAAGTCGGTGCTTTGCTCTAGTAGGACCACGTACTGCATCCTTACGACATGACAAAATATCGTTGGCCCTTAGTCTCTTTGTTAGCTGTATAATTTATCCTGAGGTTATTCTACACTTACATCAATGTAAGCTCAGCCGATACTTGAATACGTTCTTGCAGAGAGTTATGCGAGATAACCCGTTCTGGCAATTCGACGCCCCAGATACATTGTACGAGAGGGATAACAGGGTAAACCGCAACAGTCGCCAAACGGACCTCAAGATATGTCTGTATATCACGGCTCAGGACTTCTCCCTTGGCCACTTGCTGGCTTTGCACTACTACCTGGTCGAAGTATCTTTTGTGCTGTTCCTTGTATCGCTGCTGCAATTCTGATTTTCGATTAGTCGCAAGCCTAGATCAAACCGATCTGCCCAATACACACCTATAGAGGCCCTTTGCTTCACCCATAACCAGCAGAGCTGAAAGAGGTATCTGATTGGATATACGTGCGGATCTATTAGCGGCACATCCTCCTGCATGATAGCCATGGTCTCATTTATCTCTTCCTGTGCTGCAACGGGATCATCCTTCAGGTGACCTTCATCGAACTCTAATAACGAATAACAGGGTTATCAACAAGCTATAAGGCAAGACCAATTATTTCGCTTACCATCATCAAAGAAGAATAGCTATATCTCATCCATCAGTACACTCTGCTCTTATAGGAAACATAGTCTAGATGCAGGATGCTACAGGGATAAAGGGGGACCAACCCAGTAGCACCAATTAAACATCGCCGTCAACGCTTCTTTGTCGGCATCTGGCACCCATATAGAACCGAGATAGCCAAAGTCTACTTTTCTGTTCTTGGCATTTGCTTTCTCGTCCATTTTCATAATCCTAAGATAACATCAGTTACAATGTTGTCGATTCTGCTATATCCGTGTGTTCAGATAAAAGTAGTTACCTTGCAATGAATTCATCGCCCTCAGCTTTGACCTCAGAGTAGTTTGGGTTCACTACTGGTTTCGAGGCCATTATAGAAGAAAATAAATCTGGAATTTGAACAGCGCGTCTCCCCTCATGCTGCTCGTCTGGCTTAGATGAATGTGCCATCGGCGACAGTTGAAAATTACTTTACTATGTTAAGCTAGAATAATCCAACTTCACAAGGAGGAGTTTATGATGGAGTTTGCAAGATGGTGTCAGGAATTATGGTGAATAGGTGAGAGGGATTCTCTTCCTATATAGACTTGCTGCCCAGCGGCTACCGGTTCTTAATACCATTTTAAAGACTATAGCATACTACTGGGCGTTAAATAGCTCGATTTTAATAGCCGATAAGTCAAATCACCCTTACTGGGGCCACCCTAGTGGGGGCCACCCATTTCCCATACAAAATCAACAACTTCACATGTCTATAATTAATTCAAAAGAATAGATAAAAATATACAATCTCTTATGTTTTACTTTTCGATCATTATAATAACTTATGTATATTTTATCATATTTAAAATTTAATGTTTTGATAGTAAAATAGTAAAGTGTATTTTTAATGTTATTTTTAAAATTTTTAAAATTTTAATTTTATATGGGAATTTTATTAAATTACCATAAAACTTTATAAACGCTTATAACTTCTTAAATAAATAAGTTATATAACTCGCTTTTATTAAATTAACTATATATTACGTAATAATATAAAAAAGAATGCAAATAATAATCATATTTTAATTAATTGTTTTAAAATAAGAAAAAAAAGGTTCCCCCGAGTAGGGAAAGATATTTATTATATAAATACGTAAGTGTCAGATTAGTCAGCCATGTCAGGTGACCTGAAAATCCCTAGCCTCATGTAAAATAGCGGTATAATACGCGTTCCCACAATTTTACTTTAATTAATTAAATTATTATAATTATTATTAATTAAACCTTATATATCGCTTATTTAATATATATTAATTATATAATAATTAAAAATTTTATACGTTTAAACCGTATAAGTTTTAAAAATAAAATCTTAACCGATATTATATAACATAATATATACGCGTTAAAAATAAATTTTAAATAAATTATTATTTACCTATTTATTTTATTATAAATTTTATTATATTATTATTAAGTTTTAAATTTAAATATTTTAATAATTAAAACGTATAAAATAAAACGTTTATATTATTTGTTTAAAATTATTAACTTTAAAAATAAATAAATTTTAATAACGTTAATATATATAGAAAACTTAAGGTTTAATTTAAACCCTTTTTTTAAATATCTTAAATCCAAAACTATAAAAAATTATTTAACTTATTTAAATCTTAATTAAAAATAATAATAAAGGCGGAAATTTTATTAAAAGGTTAACCGTTAATAATATTAATTTTAAATAATTAACTTTATTTTTTTTAAACAATATAAAAAATAATTAAAATTTTACAAAAGTTTTATTTAAAAAAATTAAACGCGTATATATATATTAAAAATAAATATAATTAATAAGAAAAAAAGATTATTAAATTAAAATAATTAATTACTTAAATCGTATTAAAATTTTATTTTAAAATTATATAATAATTTAAATATATAATTTAAAATATATATAATATTTTAAAAGGTTATTTAAATATATATATATGTTAAAATATAAGATTTAAAATAATTATATAAAGATTATAACATTATTTATAAAGATATTTAAAAATTAAAAAGTTTAAATAATTAATTAATTTATTATTTTTAATAGGGTTAAATGTTTAAAATTAATTATTATTAAAGATTTTTAAAAGTAATTTTATATATTAATGTTAATTTTAAAATTTGTATTAATAGATTAAATAATTATTTAAAATATTATCTTTTATAAAAAAATATATAATAAAATTTTAACATTTTAAAAAATAATTATAACGTTATAAAAACATATATAAATTTTTAAAAACGTTAAAAAAAAGAAAAATAGTTAAAAATACTTTTAAATTAATTTATAATATTAATAAAAATAAAAATATTAACTAAAAAAATAAATTTAACTGTTAAAGAAAATTATTATAGTTTATAAAGACTTTTAAAAGACGGTAAAATAGTTTTAATAAATATAAAAAAGTTAATATTAACTTAAATTAATTTTATAAATATTAAAATTATAATTATAACGTTAAATATAAGGTTTATTAAGGTTTTTATAATGTTAAAAATTATTTTTATATATTTAAAGATAAAAGGTTTAAATATTTTAAGTTTAAAAAGGTAAATACTACCCTAGTAAAGTTAACTTTAAAAATTAACCTTAATTTAATAGTTAGGATAGAAATTTTTAAAAAAAAAAGTAAAAATTTAAAAGATAAAAAATAAAAATAGTTAATTAAATAAATATATAACTATTACAAAAAAAGGTATAATTTTTATAATATTAACTTATACCATTACTTTTAATATTATTTAATATTTGTTAAAAAATTTAATAATATTAAATTTAAAGATTATTATTTATATATTTAATAAAATATTTTAATTTATTAATTTTAAAATAATATTATTAAATAATTATATTATAATAAATAATAATAAAATTAAAATTATAAGTTATAAAGAAGTAAATATTTATATTTAATATTTAAAAGGATTTATTAAGATAAGGTTAATAAATATAATTTATTATAAAAATTTTATATATAATTTTATATCTTTAAAATAGTTATAAAAGTAAGGTTATTAATAAAATATATATAATAATTCCATTTATTTAAAATAATTAAATAATATTATTATAACTAAATTTATTAATTATTATTGAACAAGACTTAGACGTCTTGGCCTTGGATCAAGCCCTATTAGACCTGATATCAAGGACTTTTAGATGATGAAACTGATGAAAAAGAATGA